AGTGTACCTGTCTGTAACTATGTATTTGACCCCCTTTACCATTTTCTACATCCCGCCACCCCCTTTTCCCTCTATTATTTGTGTCTATGAGTTTTTGTTTGTCTTCTTTATTCATTTGCTGCTTTCAAGTTTATATCACACATATGAGTGAAATCATATGGTTCTTGACTTTTTCCATCTGACTTATTTTGTTTAGCATGATATTCTCATGGTCTGTCCATGTTATTGCAAATGGCAGTATTTCATCTTTTCTTATGGCTGAGTAGTATCCCGTTGTACTACAACTTCTTTATCCAATCATCTATCGAAGGATACTTCGGTTGTTTCCATGTCCTGGCCACAGCGAATACTGCTGCAATGAACATAGGGTTATATATATCTTTATGAATAAATTTTTTCAAATTTTTCAGGTAGATACCCAGAAGAGATTTTTCTGGATCATATGGTAATTCTATTCTTAATTTTTTGATGAACCCTCATACTCTTCTCCATAGTGGTTGTGCCAATTTTCATTCCCACCAGCTGTGTATGAGGGCTCCTTTTTCTCCACAACTTTTCCAACACTTGTTATTACTTGTCTTATTTATAATAGCCATTCTAACAGTTTAAGGTAATATCTCATTGTGGTTTTGATTTGCATTTCCGTAATAATTAGTGAAGTTGATCATCTTTTCATATATCTGTTGGCCATCTGTATGTCTTCTTGGGAAAAGTATCTGTTCAGGTCCTCTGCCCATTTTTCAATTGTCATGTTTGTTGTTTTGTTGTTGGGTTGTATGAGTTCTTTATATATTTTGGATATTAGCCTTTAGTGGAGGTGGAGTGGCTCCTTATCAGAGATATTTGCAAATATCTTCTCCCGTTTGGTTGGTTGCCTCTTTGTTTTGTTAATGGTTTCATTTGCTATGCAGAAGCTTTTCAGTTTGCTATAGTTCATTCTTTTTTTTTTTTGCTTTTACTTCCCTTACCTTTAAGGTCAAATTCATAAAATCCTCTCTAAAACCAAGGTCAGTAAGTTTAGTACTTGTTTTTTTTCTATATATTTTATTGTTTTAGGTCTTATAACTAGGCCTTTGATCCATTTTGAGTTAATTTTTGTGTATGGTAGCAAATAGCAGTCTAGTTTCATTCTTTCTGCATGTGGTTTTCCAGTTTTCCCAGCACCAGTTATTGATATTAGATTGGTAAATTAATTCTTGGCAACCTGTGGTTTGGGTGAATTTGCAGACTAGCAGAAATGAGGACAGAGTCCTAAGAAAGATCATAACCAAAAGGATTTTCTTCCTTTGCAGGGAAGAGTTTTTATAAGACTCTTGAATTGTTATTTTATGAACTCTGGAAGAAAAGTATTTCATATTTATTATATAGATGCAGTTTTAATATTCTTGAAAGTGCAAAATACCTTCTCTCTTGTATGTTGAAGTACACTAAAAATAAAAAAGAAACAAAAATAAGAAGACATTCTAAATAGAAGTCAAGTTGGTAAGAAAGCAAGGCAATTTGAGAGAAGTAAAATAAGTCTGTCTTTAAATTTTTAAGATCCATTAACACTTATATTTAGTTTTAGAAGAGAAGGAAAAATGAATATATTTCTGATTTTAAAATTAGTGTTTTACTAGTCATCTTTTTCCACAGGGCGCACCTGAATGACCTTGAAAATATCGTGCCATTTTTTGGTATCGGCCTCCTATATTCCTTGAGTGATCCAGATCTCTCTACAGCCATCCTGCACTTCAGGCTCTTTCTTGGAGCACGGATCTATCATACAGTTGCATATTTGTTACCTCTTCCCCAGCCAAATCGTGCTTTTTCTTTTTTTGTTGGATATGGAGTTACTCTTTCGATGGCTTACAGATTGCTGAAGAGCAGATTGTACCTGTAAGGAGAATTATACAACTCATTATCTAATTAGGTTCTAAGAATTCTGTACTTTCAATTTATAATGAATACTTTTAAGATTTTAAGTGGGAGGAAACAGAGAAATTAAGATGGGGAATACCTAGTCTGAATATGAATATCAACAGAATTCTTTATTTTTATGTTATACTTGCACTAGAAATGAAAAATAATTCTTAAGTCTTTTGTCTTATTCTTAAAGTACTTTGTTGTAAATTTGGATTATAATTTGTAACATTCGTTCAACATTTTATATTTTAAATCTATAAAAAGAGGGAGTGCACGTATGAGAAACCTATATTTCGATATTGCTGAAATAAGCATATGAAATAAAGAATTTAAAGAATAGTTTTATTTGGTTTTCTTTTTCCCAACTTGTATTTTGAAAAGTTTTAAAGCTATAGAAAGGTGGAAAGTTCTACAGTGAACCTTTATATATCTTTCACCTAGAGTTAGCAGTTGTTAACATTTTGCCATATTTGCTTTAGCTCTATCACTCAATGTTTTTTTCTGAAAAATTTGAAGGTAAGTTTTAGATATCAATATAGTTCAGTTCAAAGTACTTCAACATATGTGTCTCCTAGCAACAAGATAGTCTCTAAATAACCACAATACCATTATCACACCCAAGAAATTTAACATTAATACAAAAATATTATTTAATATATATAATTTATATTTAAATTTCCCCAATTTTCTTAATAATGTCTTTTACAATTGCTTTATTTTTGATCCAAGAATCAAACAAGGACCACACAAGCCTTTTGTTATCATTTCTATTTAGTTTTCAGTAAAATCAAAGAATACTTTAACTTTTTTTTCCATTTTTTTTCTTTTTCAATTTTTTACCTTTATGACCTTCACATGTTTTTGAGGAGTAAAGGCTGGTTGTTTCACAGAATTACTATTAATCTGGTTTTGTTTTGTCTATTATTTTCTCATTCTTAGATTAAGATTAAACATTTTTGATGATGTAGTATCACATTACAACACATCAATAGGCATATGATGTCAGTTTGTCCTATTATTGGTGATGTTAAATTTGATAAGTTTAGTAGGGTAGTACCATCCATATTTATCCATTGTTAAGGTACCGTTTTTATCTTCATAATCATATGTGAGGTGATAAATTGAGACTTTGTAGAAATCCTGTTCTACAAACTTTGACCTCATAGATTTAGCATCTAATGATGTTCAGTTGGTTTCTGCATAAAAATATAGACATATAAACATAAATTTATAAAATATATATAAATATACAAACCCATTAACACATATAAGTCCAAATTTAGATATTTTTGACTTAAGTAGAATTGTGCACTTAAACCTTTATCAAAAGAATGAACTTTTAAATATCAATACTTTTCTTGTACTTGCCTTCCAATTATAGTATTAATTTTTCCTTCTAGCTCTTGATTAGTCAATTTTAAATACATATTTCTTAAATAATGCTTTTAGTGGTTCTCATAATTGTTCATTTAGGTTCACCACACAAGAAAGAAGGCATTATGTAATATTTTAGTTTCAATTGACTATCAAGAATTCTGTACAAATTTCTCTTCACTTCTTTTCATAATGTTAAAAGCAGCTTGGCATATCATATTCAGGAAATCTTTACGGTGTAATTAATGGTAAAGACCATGAGGTCAGAATCGAAAAGTCCAAAATTAGAGGATTGGATATTCTTTCATAAATAAACTCTATTTTTCTCCTGTGCCTCCTTCCCCGACTGCCACCCCTGCTATCTGGATTAGAGCAACTTAATTACCCTGTCTGATCTATAGTTTTTCTCATTTTGTGATGTTTTTTGAAGGTAAAATGATCTATGCATGTGAAGCCCATGATAAATACTTTCTAAACAATTGTCTTCTCCACGTGTAAATTATTTGAATAATGTAACAATAATAAAGATTAAGATAGCTGAGATTTTCCTAGCTTCACATGAGATATTTGTTTAATAATTGTCACTTCTCTCATTGTGTTCTTAAAATTTCTACTTTCCTGGTAATGTTTCTCAGAATAGTAGTATCGTAATGGTTATCCATTCAACTATCTTTTCAGGGGATAGGTTTGATTAGACCCTGAGAGGTCAACTCTTAAGAACTAAAATATAAATGAGACAGAGTATAAACCAGATTAACATTGAAACTCATTCTTGTAACTGTTCCACTGACTGGTGATCTAAACCTCAGGATCAGTCTGTTCTTCCCCAGTGGTCAAGCTTCCTTGGAAGCTAAATTGTGACCAGAAAGATTCTGTTGATTTTCTCAGAGGGAGCACTTCCAAAGGAACCAAAGTTACTCCATGACCCAGTACTCTCAACATTGTACATAGACTTATGTGGCAAAAAAAAAAAAAAAAATGCTTGGTGAACATGGGTTTAGACCAAGGAGAGTTAGATGAGCCAAATGTTAATTGGCACAAGACTGAGATAATCTGACACATTTCAAGATAGAAGCGATCTCATGAATGAGACTCAAATACCTATACTCCATTGCTGCTGGTACCCTACATTCATCTTCACACTTGGAACAGCCTTGCAAGTGGGACTGGCATGACCACATTCGATGATATGAGTCCATCACTATTGTTGGTGTTTAGATAGACACAGTCAATGCTTATCTTTGTATTATTTTTCTGTTTCCTTGGCTATCTAATCTCTCTTCTGATTGAAACATCATATTAAAACACAAAGAATCTACCTCTTGGGTCTTATTAACCTGGATGCTAGTGTCTTGACATGTCTATACTGTGTCAGCTAGGAGGTTAATTCTTACAAGGTAATTGTACAACCTTTGGTTCCTAGTTATAGGGGAACCCAAAGAACCACCTAAGCATTGCTAATAGCTACCCTCCCACTATAACATGAAATGTTTCTTAGACATATCTTCAGGCAATGAAGAGAAGGTATGGAGTTTCTGGTGCCCAAAATGTTGAACCTGAATGCAGAGAGAAACTCAAGCCTAGACAATCCTACATGGGATCCATAGACCATTCACCTGATGGTTCTACTTTATAAATACCAAAAAAACAAAAAAAAAAAAGTTTTTTTGAGTTGCATCACACTAATTCTTGGAGGCAGATGATGAGAAGTGAGGCAATTTGCCTTGGGAGTCTCTACAATCCATTTAGAAACAGAAGCACAAAAATCCTATGATCATCTCTCCCCTGCCATCCTGAAATGTCAGCCCTGTGGGAAGCTGATAGGTGTTCCTGCTATCAGCGGAAGAAGCACCTCTACATTCATATCTTTCAGAGTACTTTATTCACTATATATCCTATGTAAACTGTTGAATTTGACAAGGAGGAGTTGTTGAAGGCAGACTACTGGGAAGGGGCTATGTTGGGTTGAATTTGGCACCAATCTCTCATACTTGACAGCTCTAGTACAAGATTGTGGATGAGCTATAGGACCTATGAGTCTCCTCAGTCAGCAACGTAGGCCCTAAGTCACATTTAATTCAGAAAGCCCTGACAGCCCTGCATAAAATGGGAGCAGTAAAATGGAGAGAGAGGAGCTGTGTGCAAGAGTAGGCCATTTAAGTTATTTCCTTTTACTGGAGTTTTGGAAAATATGAACCAGGACAATATAGACTATGAAACACTACAAGAAAATCTGCATTAACAATTTAAAGAAAATAATTCTAACTTAAAGCCAAAGTGATAGTTAAAATCTAAGAGTGGAGAGTTAGAAGTAGCTGCTTAAAATTCTTCATCTTTTAACCTAAATTATATATCTATCTCTATATTTCTATATAAATAAAACCACCTAAAATAAAGAGGAAAGTAAAGGATTAAAGCAGTTTTGTATAGTAAAACACTGGATTTCTGAGTCTTGGCTCTGACACTTTCTGGCTGCCCGAGATAATGATCAAGGTATTTAACCTTCTTAAGCCCCATCTTTAATTCTAAAATTGCAAAATTAATACTTTACCCACTGTATTAATAATCTTTTGCCACAATAATACTGTGTAACAATCACTCATGACTCAGTGGTTTTACAAATAATTCTGCAAGGTCGAGCTGACGTTGCCTGGCTTTGCTCGTGTGTCTGCTGTGTTAAGCTACAGGGTGGCCAGGTGGTTTTGCTGGATGTGAGTCTGTCTGGCTGTCTCACATATTTGGGAATTGGCTGTGGCTTGGCTGATTCCAAATGACCTCAACTAGTATTACTGGGACAACTCAACTCTATTCCATGTGTCTCATTCTCTAGTACAGGGGTCAGAAAACTTTGGCTCATCAGCCAAATCCAGACTGTGGGCTGTTTTTATAGATAATTTTTTTTTGGAACACAGTTGTGCTCATTCGTTTTCTCATCTTATATGGTTATTTTTGTGTCACGATGGCAGACTTGAGTAGTTGAATAGTTGCAATAGAGAGCACGTGGTCTCAAAGCCAAAAAGATTTGCTACGTGGTCTTATACAGAAAAAGCTTGCTGACTGTAGCCTGCTATCGTGATAACCCCATGTTATCGTGGCCATGGCACAGTAAGAGGAAATGGAAAAGCATTAGTACCTTTTGAAGCTTCTGCATGTATCACATCCCATAAGATGCTATTGGCCAAAGAAAGTCATATTTATGACTGCAGAATTAAAGTACTAGGAAATGGACTTAATCTTATTAGTGAGAAGAACTGCAGTGACATGGCACGAGAGCACGCATGCATGGAGAGATGAAGAATTTAAACTTTTCATGCAATCAAACGACAGTACCTGCACACTTTATGATGTTATTATGAGGTTTAATTCAGACACATGTAAAGAATCTTATAAACTCTACAACATTATGTAATTAAAAAAGCATTCATTCAAATGTGTCATAATTTTATCAGATTCGTGGTGACATGTTATACACTCAGTATGATAGCAATAGTTATAAGTAAATAAAAAATGTGATACTGGGTGTGTGAACTTGGCCTTCTCCTTCTCATTTGCAATGTGCTGCCTTAGGGAAACAGATGGGACAAGGAACAAATATTTGAATAGCCTTATTGCCTCTATAATCAAGTTGGTTCCCAAACTGTGCCCAGTCTGTTCTCTTGAAATTATCATCTGCACCCTGCTCCCAACCAAGTGTTTCATCAAAATTAATCAATTTCTGACTATTGGCATATTGAATACAAAACAGACAACATTATTGGCCTGAATATAAAATTTTTGTGTTAGTACTTGTTGAAATAATTGTATATTATCTTGATATGTGTTGTATAAATCATGAAAATAAAGGCTGTGCTAAATCCTTGTTTGAGCTACTAAATCTATAACTTGATAACTAATGGAATGTAGTTTACTTTTTGTTTATAACTCATTTTTCATGGCAATATATTTGGAGTTGAGAACCAAAAATT